GTGGGGTGTCGAAGGTGGAGGGGCTGCCCTGCTTTCCTGCTTCCTCCTCTTGTCTCTTCTCTTTGCTGTGGTTGTTGTTGTTTTGTGGGGAGACGGGATGGCTCTCTGCCCACCCCGCCTTCTCATGGTTCCACGGAACTTGTCCGCCTCCACCCTCTTCTTCTCCCTCTTCTTCTCCCTCTTTTCCTTATTTCCTCTCCTCTCCTCGCGTGTGTGGGGTCAACAACTGTAGGAAGAGTATTTTTAGGCGGCCACACGAAAAAAAAAAAAAACAGAGAAAACAAAAAAAAGGAACGTAGAAAAGGAGCCTCATACATACAAATAAGCGCATTCATATATTTATAGTCCTTTGCAGCTCCCGCGGGAGTACAAACATATTTATTTGTTTGTTTGTTTGTTTGTTTGTTTTTGTGTGTGTGTGTGTGGTTTGTTTGCCGTGGGTGTTTGTGCTGCAGTGGAAAGTTAGCGAAGGAGAAAGCGAGAAAGGGTGGCAGAGCGACGACAGCAACTCGAGGGCAAAGCGGGTTTCTTCTTGGAGCTCTCTTGCCGGTATAGGGAGAACCTCTTTTTTCCCCCTTTTTTTTTCTTTTCGCTGTTCGGCATTTTGCCTTTTTTTCCCGCTTCATTTCGTCCCTTTCTTTTTGTTTGCTTATCTCTGTGTGCCTCTTTAGTGGGCAGTTCGTCTTCTCGGCTCCTCCAGGCGGCGTGTGTGCAGGGCTTTATTGGTGCTGCTGCGGCTGCTTCGCCTGTCTGCCTGCGGTGGGTGTTGCTCCTCGCGTTCCCTCCCAACTTGCGTGCCGACGTCGCTGTGAAAAAGTGGGGGGAGAGAAGTGGCAAGGGTCACCGCAATAAACTAAAGCCAGGACGGGAACTCACGAGGAGGTGCATTAACGCCCACGCGTGCGACCCGGTTGTTTGCGCCTTTCCCGCTCAAGGAGGGGGGAAGAATTAGCCAGTCGGCTGCGCACACACCACACGTGCGTCGACGGAGAGAAAAGACCTCCTGTCCAGCTCGCAGGGACCCGGAGCAAACGGGGGAATAAGAAAAGTTAAACACCTGTACATATTATTAAACAAGGAATTTTGGGGAGTTTTTGTGTGGGTTTTGTTTTGTTGTTCCCGTTGTTCCTCGGTGCTGAGAGACATCCCGCGTGTCATTGCCGTAGTCCCCGCCGATTCTTAACGCCCCTGCGCTGTACAGAGAGCGTGGGTGAAGTGAGGGATTATAAAAGGAGGAGGCCTCCTTTTATTTTTGTTTTGGCTTGTTTGGTTGTAAGGAGCGAGCGGGCGAGGGTGAGAACGTGTGTGTGTGTGTGCTCTGATTACTTTTTGTGGGCGAAGGGCAACGTAGGGAAGGAGGGGAGGATAGGATAGGAGAGGAGAGGAGAGGAGAGGAGAGATGAGCTACGATGCCGCATCGTTTTTCCGCGGCATTTCTGCCAGGCTGAGTGCGGCGAGGCAGTCATGTAGTGACAGTGGAACGCGGAGGCGGGTAGAGGATGATGATGAGCCGCAGCAGCCCGTCGCTCCACCCCCATTGTCGACGATATCATCATCGCCGGTACAGCCGCAACCCGCGACGTGCGCGGACAGGGCAGTGAGCGCAACCATAGCGGCAAACGCATTAGGGACTATTGTTTCTCTTGCTAGGAGCTCTGGTATACCCACCTATGCTCCTGCGGCGGGGGATGGTGTTGGCTCCGCTAGGCTTTCCGTGCATAGCGCGCAGGTTAGTGGAGCGTTCATGACGCAGGTGCAGCAAGGGCCAGGGCCGCTGAAAAGGCGTGGCTCGGCGTTGACAGGTAATCCTATTCTGTGTGCTGGTAGGGACGTCGTTGTCGGCACCAATGGGATCTCCTCCGATGAGGGTGGTGTGACGGAGGACAAGGAAGGGGGTAATGGCAGCAACAGCAACACCGTTAGCAGCAGCGGCAGCACTGAGAGCGAGAAGAAGTTACCGTTACATGATTTTGTGACACGAAGAAAGAAAATTAAAAATATGCCAACAAACACGTCGCCTGTCATCGCTAAGAATCATCCCTCGCTACTCCCGCCGAAGTTGCCGCTGCATGAGGGGAAGAAGACGCTTATTTTGGATCTTGATGAGACGCTTGTGCACAGTTCACTCGTACAACAAGCGAGGCACCATGACTTAGTACTCAACATCCCAGTGGGCAGCGGTGCAACCACCGTATACGTGGCATACCGCCCCTTTTTAAGGCAGTTTATTGACGCTATTGCGGAACACTTTGAGGTGGTCGTCTTCACAGCGTCTGTGTCCAGGTACTGTAACGCAGTCATGAATGCCGTGGACCCAGGTGGCGTTTTGGGCCCTCTAAGACTTTACCGTGAACACTGTAGCATCTTGAATGGGGCATATGTGAAGGATCTCTCACTGCTCGGGCGTGACTTGAATCAGATGGTTATTGTGGATAACAGCCCAGTGACGTATTTATTTCAGCAGCGAAACGCCATACCTATCCCCTCATGGTTTGAAGATCCCAACGACATGGAGTTGAAGCGTCTGCTACCTATAGTAGAAGCCCTTGCCAGGGCGGAAAACGTGTATGATGTTTTGGATGACTACAACGCGGTACTGCAGCTGAAACAGGAGCAGATGCGGGGCGGAGAATAACTGATTTACGAGGCGACAAAATTTTTTGAGCATTTTTCACCTGCCATCTTTTTTTTTTGTTGTTTGTTTGTTTTTCCGTTCGTATTATTATTATTTTTTCCTTATGTGATTTTGAATCTAGCTCTGTGTTTGTTTTGTTCTGCTCTGCTGTATGTGTTCTTCCGCGGGTTTTGTCCGACTTACGGCGTCTCTCTCTTTATATTATATATATATATATATATATAATATTTGTGTTTAGCCCGTGTCTGTTTGTTGACTTTTTTGCTGTCGTGTCCAGTCTTTGGCTCCTGTGGAGGTTGTTTGCACCCCCGACCTGCTGCTGCTAGAGAGGAGGGAACAGAGGGAAGAGTGTGTGAAGGGGAAAGGCAAAGAGAGAGTGTATGGGTGTGTGTGTGTGTGTGTGTGTGTCGTGCACGGGCGTCGCCGCGTACCATGGTTGCATGTGTGTGTGTGTGTTTGTTCGTTCGTTTGTTTTATTTGATGCATGTATGTATGTACACACATATGTGTATGTCTGTGTCTGTGCGGCGGGTTCTTTTCAAAGTTATATTTGAGGCAGGCATCTGCTGGGACGGTTTCACGACCCACCCCCTTCTCTCAACCCACAGCCAGCCAGTTTTCTCACAAGCTGTCTCTTTCACTGCCAGTGTGTGTATGTGTGGATATTTTTTCCCCTCCCTTTCTCCCCCGTGTGGTGGTGAAAGGCAGGACAAAGAAGAACAGCGGGTCACGAGGGACCCCACGCACACATGCGCTGAGTTTGTTTCATTGGTGAATTGGGGGGGGAGAGGGGGCAGTGTGGCCCTCCCTGCACATGTGGCGTCATGCATGCCTCTCACCCTCTCGAAAAGTGCTAATACAAAAGGGCAAAGACAGGGGAACTTAACTGCTAAACCACAGAGGTGATGGATGTACCGGTGGACATGAAGCTGTTTTGGTATTTTTCTTTTTTGTGGGTGAGTCGGTGAGGGAGTGACTGAGGCCTTCGTTTCGTTTGCCTCTCTATTTTACGGTTGGTTTACATGTTTCTGGAGAGGCACGGGGCTGTGCGCGCCTCCCCCTGCACCTGTACGCACGCACGCACGCGCTTTCATATCTGCTTGCAATCCTTTTCATTCGTCTTTTTATTCTTGAACCTCCCTGTGGTTAAACTTGACAGGGCATTTTTGGTTTGTCTGTTTGCTTTTGGAGATCTTACCGCTTGCTTTTTTGTTCTTCCCGCACGAAGCAGACCTCCGCCAGTCTGAGGACGCTTTTTCCGCGCTACCCCTCTCAGCTTCCCGCACGGCGTCCACACGCATGTGTCCTCGTGTGTGTGTATGTATGTGTGTGTAGCGGACAGATGTACGTTGCTGCTCTCTCACTTCAGTCCCTGTCGTGTGCGGCTAACCCGCCCCCCCCCTTCATCGGAGCGCGTGGAAAGACTCTGCTTCGCTGGTGCATCAACCGTCACGCCGCACGGCCATCTTGCTTGTTGAACTCTTCTACCTCTCATGGCATAAAGGGAAGGAGGGCGAGGATCTACGCTTCCCACCAACTAGGCAAGCACTTGAGTTCAATTCTATTCCACCAACAGGAGCGGATAGAAAAAAAAAGAATATCAACGAAAATAGGTAAGAAGAGGGAAAAATAAAACCATTTTTAATTTGAAGCTTCACACGTCAGTTTTGCATGCATTGTTCTATGGCGCATATCACGGCTACACTACTGCGTCAGCAGGACGATCTATGCAGCGTTGCCGTCCTTGCACTTTTGCGTGGCAAAGATGACTTTAAGCGATTGGCGGCAAGTGAGGGGGAAGCGATTATTTGCCGTGACAAAGAGGACGAGGAGAAGTTGGCGGTTGGTATTGATATTGCGAGGGCCAAGGGCATTCTCCGCGGAAATCCACACGTCGCCAAGGCCATACAGATTTGTGTGGCGGGCAGGACAGCGCAGCAGGTGACGGGCGAAGTCCTGTGTCATCTGCCAAGCAAGGAGGGGAACATTATTGTCATTCAAGGACTTTCTGGCACGGGAAAAGGCACCACCGTGGAGAAGCTGCAGAAAGTGCTGCCACGTTGTGTCACATGGAGCAACGGTAACGTGTTTCGCAGCTATACATATTTGTGCTGCGAAGAGTTAAAGGGGGCACCCGTTGTTCCGGAGCTACTCACGCCGGAGTTGCTCTCTAAGGTGGAGAAACAGTTGACCTTTGAGCAGATGAAGGACGGTGAGTTTGACGTCATGCTCAAGGGAACCATGCGTGTGGCCGACATCCAGAACACGCTACTAAAGACACCTGAGATTAGCCGTGCGGTGCCCACGGTGGCGCAACAGACGCAGGGCGAAGTCATTCGCTTTGCGAACATGGCCGTTGGGAAGCTCAGTCGCGCCGGCCACAATGTCATTTTGGAGGGTCGTGCGCAGACGCTAAACAACATTCCTACACCACTCCGCTTTGAACTTGTGATGGACGATACCACACTGCTTGGCGAGCGTCGTGCAGCTCAGCGCGTTATGGCGAGGGCTCTCTCCAACATAAAAGACCACCTTGGTGAGGCTACTGATGAAATGGTAGAAGAGGCCATTATGAAGGCGCTAGATGAGATGTAAAAGGTACTTAAGTTGCATCTATGTGGAGTCCTACTCTGCCCCGTGGAATGCTGAGGAAAGCAATAATAAAGTTAGGGTCACTTTTCCGTTTTGTTTTTTTGTGAACACCGTTACCACTACTACTTCTACTAGTCGTACCGTGAATACGTGCAGGTGCATCAATGGCCCAGTGGATGTGTGACAGGTTTGTATGTGTCTATTTTATTTTTTGTTGTTGTTTCTGTGCAATGACATTTTTATTGTTATGTGCTATTTGAGCATTCACAATATATACGCACGTGCACTTCCCCACGTCGCTAGTTTTTGGCGTACGTATCTGTGTGTGTGTGTGTGTGTGTGTGTGTGTGTGTATGTGTGTGTATGTGTCTGCGGTGTGGGTGTGTGGGTGTGTGTCTGCGGTGTGGGTGAAATAATGAGAAGAGAGTTTTGGCTCGCTGCGATACATGTCTGCTTTATTGCTTGTGTGGTCGTTTCTCTCGAGCTGGTTCGTCCTTCCCCTATGCGCATATACATGCTCTTGCTTGATGCCGCTGCAGACTTTAAAAATAGTGCAAAGAGGAGGGGAAAGAACATCACACGCATACAGGACGACTAGGAAAAATACGAAAAGTACACCAGTTTGTTTGTTTGTTGTTGTTGTTTTTGTTTTTTGTTGTTTTTTTGTTAGGAAGAGTGGAGCACGCCAAGGAGCAATGATGTCGACGGCAAGCAAAATTCTGACGGCACTGCGTGAGTCGATGCAGCAGTACTCCCTGGCCGCCCTCATCGTCCCCTCCGGTGATCCTCACAACAGTGAGTACGTGAAGGATGAGTACAAGTGCCGCGCCTACATCACAAACTTTAAGGGAAGCGCTGGCACGTGCCTTGTTACCATGTTTGAGGCCTATCTCTGGACGGACGGACGCTATTGGCTTGAGGCGTCGCAAACCCTCTACCCGGAGTGGACGCTGATGAAGGATGGTCACCCAGGTGTGCCAACGCTGGAGAGCTGGATTGAGTTAAACCTGGGCTCTGCTGTACCGGTAGGGATGAACAGTTGTCTGTCGACTGTGGCTGAATGGGAGCGGCGACGCAAGACAATCAACCTGGTATCCGTGCCGGAGCTGGTGCAGCCGCTGATGCCACCTGTCGAGCGGCCACTTGCAAAGGTATACGCCCGTCCAGACGAGTTCTGTGGTCTGCGCTGTGAGGAAAAGGTGGCAGCGTTGGTGGAGGAGATGGAGCGGCAGAAGTGCGATGCTGTAGTGCTCTCGGCGCTGGACGAGGTTGCTTGGCTTACCAACTTGCGGGGCTGGGAGGTTCCTTTTAATCCCGTGTTCTACGCCTACGGCGTGGTACAGCGCGGTGCTGCTGCGCCCACAGTACACCTCTTCGTGGACGCCGACGTGGGCGAGGCGAAGGGATCGGCGCTGGAGTTCCACCCGTACAATGCACTGGAGGCGCACCTTCGTGCTCTTCCGACGGGCACCACCTTCCTTGTGGACGTGTGCCAGACGAGTCAGTGGTTGTTCGCGCTGTTAGAGTCAACGGGAATGCAGGTAAAACGGGTACAGTGCGGTCCGGCACAAATGTTAAAGGCCGTCAAAAATACCGTGGAAATTGAGGGTTTCCGCCGCTGCCATGTTCGCGACGGCGTGGCGCTTACACGCTACTTGGCGTGGCTGCACGACGCGGTGGCTGTAAAGGGGGACACAAGCATTACCGAAGCCAGCGGCGCTCGGCGCTTGGAGGAATTCCGGCGTGAGGAGGAACACTTCGTGCAGCTGAGTTTTTCCACCATCTCCTCTGTCGGCCCTAACGCAGCGGTTGTGCACTACACTGCGCCACCTGAGGGCTCCGCGACGATTGTGCCAAACCAACTGTACCTTGTTGACAGCGGGGCTCAGTACCTTGACGGTACCACCGACGTCACGCGGACGGTATGTTTTACGAGACCAAGCGAGGAAGAGCGCGAGGCGTACACGCTCGTTCTGAAAGGGAACCTCGCCCTCCGCCGCGCCGTATGGCCTATCGGCACAAGCGGCCATCATCTCGACGTGCTTGCGCGTGCCGCGTTGTGGCAATGCGGGATGAATTATGCACACGGCACCGGTCATGGGGTTGGCTCGTTTTTGAACGTGCATGAGGGACCACAGGGCATCGGTATGCGCCCGATGCCGACAGGGGCGACACTGACGGCGGGTATGGTGATATCGAATGAGCCAGGGTACTACAAGGACGGTGCGTTTGGCATCCGCATAGAGAATCTCGAGGTCGTCGTGGCTGCCCCTACGAAGCACAGCAAAGAGGGGTTCCTAACGTTTGACACGCTCACCGTGGTACCGTTGTGCCGCGAACTCACTGATGTGGCGGTACTGACACAGGCGGAGCGGCAGCAGGTGGATGCCTACCACCAAAAGGTGAGGGAGGCACTCCTTCCCCACCTTCGCCGCCGCAACGACAGCCGCGCAATCGCCTACTTGGAGCATCACACAGCACCGCTCTAACCAGCGGTTGCCAGTGTTCATAAGGGTGTGATGGGCGATGGGCGGTGTTATTGGTCATGGACTGCTATGTCTGCCCCATTCCTTTTATTGGTCCCACCTTCGTTTACTCTCTTTCTTTATTTCTCTCTCTCTCTCTGTGTGTGTGTGTGTGTGTGCAGTAGAGGACCACCAAGAGGCTCATAATGTCGCTTTTTGGTAAAAAGACGTGGCGTCTGCAGGACGTCATGCGCACCGATGAAACGCAGGAACTTGTGAGCATTCTGAAGATTACCCATCCGTTCCGTAAGCAGCGCATTGTCGTCGTGCCCGCCCCCCGCTATGCAAAGGAGTCGTACTACCACGACTGGGTTTATCAGCCCTACGCTAAGGAGCACCGCTTGTTTGTGAGCAACGACATATTTAATCCCACTTCAGTCTACCTCGCCCGTGTTCTCATCCGTCGCGGTTTCTTCCCCGGCTACGCGTACTTTCACCCCATGGGATTTCCGGACTGCATCGACCTCAACCTTACCCGGCGTAAGTTTATCGTACGGGAGCAGCCATTGAAGACGCCCATGCCGCTGATCCTGCTCACACCAAACCTCTTTCGCGCGAAGCGTCATCCGTGGGTCGCCCGCAAGGTAATCAAGATTGTGGGCGAGCAGTACGTCACCCACCCTCGTGAGGAGCATCAGTCCATGTTGTTTGTGCTCCCACCGGAGTACGTTCCAGATGCGGTCAACACGCTGCAGAATCTTGGGTTTCAGGTAACCGACCACACCACTGCCGTCGCAGGCGAGGCGGCTGTGCTCAGTAAGTTGAATCGCTGGAGTGATATTGCGCAGCTGGTGGTTTTGGGCTACGTGTGGTTCATGATTGCCCTCCTTTTCGTGAATGAGTCACGACGGATGCAAACGATGTTTCACGAGTACAAGCGGGAGATGGTGGTGAAGGCAGGAAAGGACCCTGAAGAAATGGGTCTGTAGAGCCCCACTGCCGCACAGCAACAGAGAGTACGAATCATAGCAGCATTTTATTCAAATACCGGTGAGCCTGTTGGCGGTGAGTGGCCTTTCTTCCTCCCCTTCAACGGCACACACACATACGCTTACATATACACGGGGAACGCGAACGAGAGGGAGAGAGGGTGACAGACAGGGGATGAGTGAAGACGATGCGTCGTCGAGTGTTTTTTGTTTTTAACGACGTTTGGCTTGAAGTTCACTCAACTTTGTTTTTCTTTTGCCGTTCTTCATGGTGCTCCTCCTGTGAGGACTTTGTGGCGTTACGCGTTGGCGGTGGCGGTGGCGAGTTTCGTTTGCCTTCTGTCTGCCCCATCCCGTGACTTGTTTCTCCTCTCTTTTTCTCTCTGTGTGTATTCCCCTGTAGTGCTCCTTACATACGTCTGTGTTGTTGTTGTTGTGTTTTGCTACTCCTTTTTTCTTCTCTCTCTTCTCTTTTTCTGGTCTGTCGATGGGTGTCCGATCGTCCCGTGCGGCGTTGTTTGACACCATTCGGGGAACTTGAAAAAACTAAAAGGTAAAACACACTTGCCTTTTAACAGCAAACAACAAACATTGACATGTCCGCTGGGGGAGCCGAATTTAAAGCTGAGCTGCGTGCCGGCAAGCCCAAGTTTGGTGTGTTCCTTAATTCCGCCAGTCACCTGCTTGCCGGGCAATTCAGCCACTCCGGCTACGACTGGTTGTTGATTGACATGCAGCACTCCCCAGTGAATCCGCTGACCCTCAGCCAGTTGATTGCGGCCATCCGAACCGGCCCTGCGAAGGTGATGGTGCGGGTGGGGAGCACGGAGGACCGTCCCGGCATTCAGAACGCGCTGGACTCTGGCGCCGATGGGGTGCTGATTCCGTACGTAAACACCGCAGCGGAGTTGAGGGCTGCGGTGGAGTGCTGTTTCTATCCGACCGCCGGGACCCGTTCCGTGTACGCGCCGCAGCAGTGCATGAATGCGAAGGGACTGCTGGGGTACGCAGGTGAGGCGAACAAGAACGTGGTGGTGGCCTTCCAGGTGGAGACAGCCGATTGCATCAAGAACATGGACGAGATTATGGCAGTCAAAGGTGTCGATATCGCCTTCCTGGGGCAAAACGACCTTTGCATGTCAATGGGTCTGTATGAAAAGTACGTGTTCCCTGAAATGTACACCTCGCCGGAGCTAAACGAGGCGACCGAAAGACTCATTGCGGCAGCGCGCAAAAACAATGTCATCCTGGGTCTCTTTCTCTTCGGTACGGACCGCGTGGGGGAATTTCTGCAGAAGGGCTTCACGTTCATCAGCATCGGCAGCGAGCTGCACCACGCCCTGACACAGGCCTCCACGCATGTGAAGACTCTGGAGCAGATTGCCAATGCGGGTGGAAAGCCGTGGAAGCATCAGCCAAGCGCGATTGTGTAAATGAAGGGAAATAAAGGTGGCCCCACCAAAGCGAGAGTGCGTGTGGATGTTAAAGGTGGAAAGAGAAATTGTGTGTGTGTGTGTGAAGGGGAGTAGCGAAGCATCAGAAACAAATAAGCAAACACAAATTAAAACGACGTCGTCCTGAAACACCACCTGCAAAAATATCATTAATTCCAAATAATAAAAAAAACAGAAATAAAAA